GTACAATGTAATACTTTATCCATTTTAGTATTTTTGTTTTGCTTTGTTCTAGTACTGTTGGTTGAACTCTGTAATTAATACACAATTATTCTTAGGTGTTTAAATTTTAACTGAAAAGTGATCCCTGTTAGGAATTTCGGAAACATTATGCTGAGTGAAATAAGCCAATCCCAAAGGGACAAACACCACTTGTTCTCCTTGATAGGTGACAACTAACTGAGCACCAAAAGGGAAACCTGTTAAAGTGAAATGAACACTATGAGAAATGGTGACTTGGTCAGCCCTCACCCTGACTGTTGATGAGCAACTTAATATGTCATCCCTCTTAGTATTTTTTTTTGTTTGTTCTACTTAATACTTTTGGTTGAATACTGTAATCAATACACAATTCTTCTTATGTGCTGAAACTTAACTGAAAAGTGATCACTGTTAAATATAAGAGTGGGAATAAGAGAGGGAAGAGACGTGCAATTCGGGACATGCTCAAGCTGACTTACCTCAAATGGTAGAGTTAGAAACATACCAGGGGATTCCAATTCAATCCCATCAAGGTGGCATGTACCAATGCCATCTCACTAGTCCCAGTGATCAATTTCTGTTCACAATTAATCATAATATTAGGAGTAAGAATAAAAGGGATCACATAAACAAGAATAGTGTCTGCAAATACTAGCTGATAGAATCAAAAAGGGAGAGAATGATCCAACATGGGAAGTGAGATACACAGCAGACCCATAGAATGGCAGATGTCCTAAACAGCACTCTGGCCTCAGAATCAGCCCTTAAGGCATGTGGATCCAGCTGGAAAGCCCATGAGAGTATTTCAGGCATGGAAAGCCAAGACACTCTGGGGAAAAAAAAACCTAAATGAAAGATCTCCGCAAGTGAGATCCCAGTGGAAAGAACGGGTCATCAAAGAAGGAGGTACCTTTCTCTGAAGGGAGGAGAGAGCTTTCACGTTGACCATGGCCTTGTCTAAATATGATCAGAGTCAGTGAACTCATGGGGCTTCCATAGCCTTGGCAGCTCATGACAAGAGCCTAGGGTGATTACTGATGCCATAAATGAGAGTGTCAATTTGTTAAGTCAACAACAGGAGTCACTGTGCACTTACACCTCATGTAGGATCTTTGTCCTAAGTGTGCTGTACATTGTGATTTAATGCTGTAACTAGTACTCACACAGGATTTTTCACTTTATGTTTCTGTGTGGGAGCAAACTGTTGAAATCTTAATGTATGCTAAACTGGTCTTCTGTATATAGAGAATTGAAAATGAAAAAAAAAAGAAAAAAAAGAAACATGCCAGGGGATTCCAATACAATCCCATCAAGGTGGCACATACCAATGCCATCTCACTAGTCCAAGTGATCAACTTCAATTCACAATTGATCACACTGATAGGTCTAAGAGTCAAAGGGGGCTGGCGCCGTGGCTCAATAGGCTAATCCTCCGCCTTGCGGCACTGGCACACCAGGTTCTAGTCCTGGTCAGGGTGCTGGATTCTTTCCCGGTTGCCCCTCTTCCAGGCCAGCTCTCTGCTGTGTCCAGGGAGTGCAGTGGAGGATGGCCCAAGTGCTTGGGCCCTGCACCCCATGGGAGACCAGGAGAAGCACCTGGCTCCTGCCTTTGGATCAGCGCGGTGTGCCGGCTGCATGGCGCCAGCCGTGGCGGCAATTGGAGGGTGAACCAACGGCAAAAGGAACACCTTTCTCTCTGTCTCTCTCTCTCACTATCCACTCTGCCTGTCAAAAAATGAAAAAAAAATTTTTTTAATTTAAAAAAAGAGTCAAAGGGATCACACAAACAAGAATAGTATCTGCTAATACTAACTGATAGAATCAAAAAGGGAGAGAATAATCCATCAAGGGAAGCGGGATACACAGCAGACTCGTAGAATGGCAGATGTCCTAAATAGCACTCTGGCCTCAGAATCAGCACTTAAGGCATTTGGATATGGCTGAAGAGCCCATGAGAGTATTTTAGGCATGGCAAGCCAAGACACTCTGGAAAAAAAAAAAAAAAAAGAAGACCTAAATGAAAGATCTCTGCGAGTGAGATCCCAGTGGAAAGAACAAGGCCATCAAAGAAGGAAGTACCATTCTTGGAAGGGAGGAGAGAACTTCCACTTTGACTATGACCCTGTTGGAATAAGATCAAAGTCAGCGAACCCTAAAGGCTTCCATAGCCTTGGCAACTCATCACTAGAGCCTAGGGAGATTACTGACGCCATAAACAAGAGTGTCACATTGTTAAGTCAACAACAGGAGTCTCTGTGTACTTACATCTCAGGTGGGATCTGTCCTTAATGTGTTGTCCAATGTGAATTAATCCTATAACTAGTACTGAAACATTATTTTACACTTTGTGTTTCTGTGTGGGAGCAAACTGATGCAATCTTTACTTAATATATACTAAATTGATCTGTATATAAAGAGAATTGAAAATGAATCTTGATGTGAATGGAATGGGAGAGGGAGCGGGAGGTGGAAGGGGCACGAGTGGGAGGGAAATTATGGGGGGGGACCATTGTAATCCATAAACTGTACTTTGGAAATTTATATTTCCTAAATAAAAAAAAGAAGGTTTTTGAGAGCAGCAGAAAAGGAAGGAGAGGGAGAATCAGGAAAAAGGGGAACAGAGGGCAGGACCAGCTGCAAGTTCTGCCTCCTAACTTTGAACTGGCCCAGCCCTGATTATTGCAGGCATTTAGGGAGGGAATCAACACATGGAAGACCTGTCTGTGTGTGCGTGTGTGTTCCACTGCCCCACTATCACTCTGCATTTCAAATAAATAAATCCTTAAAAGAAACTTTCAGTCTGCAGTAAGGGTATGCCAACTTCATTGGTAGGATTTCCTATCTCAACTGAAAGGGCACCAATAAAAAACTAACACTTGAGTTTGCTGTTTCTGTGGTTCTTGGGAAGGAAGGGCTAATGAGGAAGGCTAAGCATATTCACAGATAGTGGTGGAGCCGCACAAAAGAAGGCTCAAAGAAATGCTACAGGAGTGTGTTGGAGAGAAACCATGTATTGTACACCAGTGGCAGCACACTCCTTAGGGAATAACTCTCTTTGGAGCTTTCACGGTGGGAGAATTCCACTCCGGGTAATGGTCAGGAGCAGCGGGGGGAAGAGAGGGAACTCACTGCTCTGCACATTAACTTGGGGAGAACCAGAGATTCTGGGGGCAGCTCTACAGAGGCACAGTGAAGCCCTGGGAAGGGAAAAAAACGTAAAAGAAGGGAGGCAGGAGAGGGGCCTGGAAATCTGGAGAAAAGCCTGGGTAGGGGAGAAAGGACCCAGGTTCAGTTCTCTGGGTCAGGAGCAGGCCAGGAACTGAGATCCAAGACTCCACTTTAGGGCCTCTGCTATGATTGCTGCACGGCCAACTTTGGCAGCCCCGTGCACCCCATTTTGAGACAATTCTGTTGCATAAAATTGCTCTGAATGGGGACAGCTTTTGAAAATAAAGCAAAGGAGCTCCATGCACTTCCTAGAGCTGCCAGAACCAAGTGCCACAAACACATAGCCTATTCATGCAAGCCCATGTCGCCTGGTTCTGGAGGTCAGAGTCTGAGGTCAAGGTGTCAGTGGTGGACCCTCAAGGACCGTGGGGCACAGTCTGCGCCATCACTCTCCCTGGCTGCTGCTTCGTGACAACGTTGGACACTCCTTGACTTGAAGACCCACAGCCATGCCTCTACCACCTCCTCATGTGCCTCTCTGTCTCCGTGTCCATCTTTCCCCTTTTCATGAGGTTGCCAGTGCTATTAAATCAGAATCCACCCTACGAACTTCATTTTAACTTCATCACTTTTGTAATGGCCCCATCTCCTAGTGAGGCCACACTTTGAGGTTGCATTTCCTGTTACATTGTGTCTCTGCAGAACCTTGAGTGATATACTTGTGTTACCTGCAGCCAAGGTGTTCCAGTAGAGGCAGTGCACACTTTGACACCAAACACCTCAACCTAGACTCTCCCCTGATGGACGTAGCAGCCCACACATTCACTCATACTCATTCCACAACCCTGACAGCAAAGAATTTCCAGGGCTCTCTTTTTCCCAATGGCTGCAGGAAGACATTCCTGATTTAGATGGGTTCCCTCACTCCCCATCCCCACTGCACACCCTCAGGGTAATGCATTATGTGTCCCTGCCTGCATCATGTGATTTGTTCATGTTCCTCAGCACTTGGATTGATAATGTGACCTGTTTGGCCAATGGGAGCAACCATGCATGTTCTGCAGGTGATTCAGGTAAACTTTCATGGTCAGATCCAGCTTTCTAAGTTCCTGAGCTCTTTGCCACGAGGACAACCTGTCCGCAGCAGCAGTGGCTGCTCCTATAATCTGGAAACCAGAATGTAAACCCAGGTGGTGTGCACTTGAACCTGACCTTCTGCCTGAAGTTAAACCCATCTGAGTCCAGAAGAACCTCGGTGGCCTCCTGTTACATGGACAAGAAATAAGCACTGGCTGTTGCAGTCATCGAGGTATGGGGCTTGCTTGTTATCACAGAGAAGGCTGGGTCAGTAATCAGGGTGACAATGGGGGACACCACACTGACTCAAAGCAGGCCGTGCCCAGGAAGGAAGGGCACTCAGGAGGTGTTTTTTGGTTTCCCAGAGGCACCACCTCTCTTCCTGGTTCTGTGTGTTGTGGACCAGCTGGTACTACTTTGCCATTACTTCTCAGGTTTGGGACTTTGGTTCAGTGCTTTGCTGGGGAGTGAGAAACTCTGAGCAGGGCAGAATGGAAGTGAAATTCTGAGTGGTTACAAAGTTAACATGCAAACCACACCCGAAAAAATTCCTGAGTAAAGAATAGCAAACTTGCCCATAATAATCAGTACAACTGAATCTTGTCTTGAGTAATTTCTGGTAAATACTCCAGTTAGAATAAAGCAAAACTGAAACACAGCCAATCACAGCAGTAAAGCAAAACCTGGGATGGGCTAGGAACTAAGAAGGTAAGCACTTTTCTAACTGCAACCAATCAAATAACAGTTTGGCTTTGTTTGTACATCTGCCTTATAAAAACTTGTCCATGATGATTTTTTTTCTTCAGACCATTAGACCTCTCTGGGTTTACTGTTCCACAATTCATTAATTTCTTCTTATGCAAATAAACTCTGAAATTTTGCTTTATTTTGAGCAGATAGACCCATTAGCTGGTCCTCTGTAATAATATAAAAGGCTGAGCAGAGGAGCATATGCCTGGCACACTCATCTGGGTTTCAGGATGGCTGTGGTAAGTGCCTTTTGATTTAGAAGGAAGATCTGGAAGGGATGACTCCCAATTAGGACTCAGCTGGTCTTGGGAAGGGTGGGAATTAGCCTCATTATTATTATTATTATTATTCGACAGGTAGAGTTATAGACAGTGAGAGAGAGAGACAGAGAAAAAGGTATTCCTTCTGTTGGTTCACTCGCCAAATGGCCACTACGGCCGGCGCTGCGCCGATCCGAAGCCAGGAGTTTCTTCCTGGTCTCCCATGTGGGTGCAGGGCCCAAGCACTTGGGTCATCCTCCACTGCTTTCCCGGGGCACAGCAGAGAGCTGTACTGGAAGAGGAGCAACCAGGACTAGAATCCAGGGCCCATATGGCATGCTGGCGCTGTAGGTGGAGAATTAACCAAGTGAGCCACGGTGCTGGCCCTTAGCCTGTTTTAAAAGCTTGCATACAAATCCTGCTATTATTCAGAAGTCTATTTTCCATGGGAGACCATGAGCTCTTTGCAGAGTGGGCACCTCCTTTTGGTGCCCACTGGACTTGACTATGGTTCTGGGGTGTTGGGAGGGGCATGGTGAGGCCATGTAAAGGGAGCTGGGATCCTGTTCTAGAAGCTGTTCTCACACAAATTCCCTGAGTGCCCCGTAGATTCAACCTCTCTGTCTGCGCAACTTGAGCCATCTTTTCCCATCTGCTCAAGTTCTCCTCCCCACTCCCCCATCCCCACCTCTTTCTATCCTTCTTTCAATTTGCATTTTTTAATATTTATTTATTTATCTGAATGGCAGAGTTATAGAAAGGGAGAGGCAGAGAAAGAGGTCTTCCATGCACTGGTTCACTACTCAAATGGCTGCAATGGCCAGAGCTGGGCCAATCCAAAGCCAGGAGCTGGGAGATTCTTCCAGGTCTCCCACGCAGGTGCAGGGACCCAAAAACTTGGACCATCTTCTACTGATTTCCCAGCAGAGAGCTGGATTGGAAGAGGAGCAGCAGGGACCTGAACGAGTGCCCATATGGGATGCTGGCACTGCAGGTGGTGGCTTTACCTGTTATGCCACAGTGCTGGCCCCAATTTGTATTTATTTTATACAAAATGTATTCTTGAACCATACATTTTTGTTTCTTCAGTTTATTCTGTGGTATCTTTTTCTTCTATATCATTTCCTCTTTTGGTTTAGGAATAAGTTGTTCATTTTCATTATGGCAAGGGGAGCTCATGTCTGGGTTAATCTAATCATGACCTCTGTAAGTACCATTTCATACCTTGGGTGCTTTGTTCACCTGGATCTGCTCAATGACCAGAAAATCTGCAGGAATCAACTGGACTTTTGATTCTGGGTGGTTTGGGTTTCTAGTTCCATTTTGTGTTGCTTTTTTGTAGTCAGAGCAAAGCAAGATGGCTGTCATCCAGATCTCCCAAACTGGCACCCAGGTTGGGGGCCAAGCAGGATGCAAGTTGGGGTTAGCCAGGCACTGGATGGTTCTTCTAGTAACTCCACAGTTAATTCTAGCAATGGATTGTGAGCTTTTGACCCAGGAGAGAGCACAGTGGGGAAGGGGAGGGCTTCCCTCTCAGGAGTAAAATGAAAAAAAAGAAAAAGGAGCTGTTTGAGCTCACAGGGTGCGATCCAGTGGGTGGCAGCATCAGCTCTTCCTTATTTGAAATAGGGAGTTGGGGGCCGGCGCCGCGGCTCACTAGGCTAATCCTCCGCCTAGCGGCGCCGGCACACCGGGTTCTAGTCCCGGTCGGGGCGTCGGATTCTGTCCCGGTTGCCCCTCTTCCAGGCCAGCTCTCTGCTGTGGCCAGGGAGTGCAGTGGAGGATGGCCCAGGTGCTTGGGCCCTGCACCCCATGGGAGACCAGGAAAAGCACCTGGATCCTGGCTCCTGCCATCGGATCAGCGTGGTGTGCCGGCCGCAGCGCGCCGGCCGCGGCGGCCATTGGAGGGTGAACCAACGGCAAAGGAAGACCTTTCTCCCTGTCTCTCTCTCTCACTGTCCACTCTACCTGTCAAAAAAAAAAAAAAAAGAAAAAAAAGAAATAGGGAGTTGGGGTCAGCACTGCAGTCTAACAAGTAAAGCCTCCACCTGCAGTGCTGGCATCCCAAATGAGCACTGGCTCTTGTCCTGGCTGCTCCTCTTCTGATCCAGCTCTCTGCTATGACCTGGGAAAACAGTAGAAAATGGCCCAAGTGTTTGGGCCATTGTACCCATGTGGGAGATCCAGAAGAAGCTCCTGGATCCTGGCTTCAGATCAGCCCAGCTCTGGCCATTGCAGCCATTTGGGGAGTGAACCAGTAGAGGTTCACAACAAACAACTGGCCTGTTCACGCAAGTTCTTGTGGGTCCCTAAGCACTGCAAGGGGCAGTCTGTGCCATCACTCTCCCTGGCTGCTGCTTCATGAAAACATTGAGGTTTCCTTGACTTGGAGACCCATGGCTCTACCTCTACCACTTGTGCACACAGCAGTCTCCTCGTGTGCCTGTCTGTCTCCATGTCCATCTTCCTCCTTTTCATGAGGTCACCAGTGCTATTAAACCAGGATGCACTCTATGAACCTCATTTTAACTTCATCACTTTTGTAATGGCCCCGTCTCCTGATAATGCCACATTCTAAGGAATTGGATAAGAGGTTAAGACTCCAATATGTCTTTGGTGGGGCAGGAGACATCACCTCATAACAGGAGCTATGTTCCATGACTGAGTCCATGTGGAGTGAAGAAAGAGCTGTGAAAGATGAGATGTGAGTGAGATCGGGAATGATTAAGAACTTGTGGCAAGAAGTGACTAAGAAAATCATAGTCAACAACCAAAGACTCTCTGTATTTACCACTTGAACTGGGAGTGGGGACACCAGAAACAGGGTTGTGGCTTTAGTCAATCCATGTGAAGCTAAAGGACAGGGTGATCCTAGAAGGATAAAAAAGTTGGCAATACCACCATCCCCAGGCAGTCATATTGGAAACATTTGGTTTTTAAAGAAACTAATTTTGAATGGAAAGTTGAAGGATGACTTCCTGGAGGAAAATTCTTCAAGATGGGCCTTGAAGGATGAGTTAGATGCAGACATGTGCCTGTCCCCTCATACTATGTTCTGGAATATGCTTTGCCTTTCACAAAGCTTTATTCCAACCTCCCTTACCATGCCTGACCCGAGTTGAATGTCAGGTTCAAGTCACTCAATACACTCCCAGGAACAACCAAGATCTGTGTCACTTCCCCAAACGGTTGATCACTGCTGATCTGTTTCTTCGTGCCCAGCCATATGTGTGCTACAGCTATCCAACAATGGTCATATTCTGGCTTGCCAATTCATTGCACATTCCAGCACACTTTGTATCCCAGCATTTAAAAACCCATCTAACACATGCCAGGAACTCAATAAATACTCATTAATTGCTTAATAGGTACAATCTTACTGATTGATCAATTTTGTTGATCTTAATGACTTCTGGATTTCTCAACTTTCTCAAAGACAGACTTTGGATTGCTTTCCATGTAATCCCACTCCAGCCAAGGCCATAAATAGTTCAAGCGACAAATGAACACAGCATGGAGGTTAGATATTAGACTCATTCTCTGTAACTGAAACTACAAAGTGGACTTTGAAGCCTGAAAGAGAAACCTGATTTTTCTCCTTTCATCAAGAATTTCTAGACCTGCATACAGAAACACACGGAGCCGGAGAAGGAGCAGTCACAGGTTTGTCAGAACTGCAAGGTAAGAATCCTGTGCATTTCTCTGCAACAGCCTGATGGTCACTAGATGATCCCTAGACAGGCCTGGCAAGCATCCCTTGTGAGCTTTGAGGGTCAGGGGTGCCCTCCAGCAGGACAGGACTTTCTGCAGCTCTCCCTTGGAGATGCAGTTTGACCAGCTGGGTAGTAACTGAAGACTTAGAACAGGTTCCTGAAACTAGTTCAGATCTCTGCACAGACAGCCTTAGAAGACTGGAAACCCTGTGGGGAATCTTATTGGATGAGCCCTCCCTGAGTCCAGCAGCTTGGAGCACATTGTGAAGGTTCATATAGGGCCTTGATCTAAAACTAGTTGAAAAGCTTCTAACAGAGCAGCCTCCTTGGTTCTTGTTCTTGTTATTATCCTCATAAGAGGTAGAACTGAAGATATCTCAGGAGCATCCGTCTCAGGGCCCAGCTGTCAGTGTCAGCTGTTGGGTCTTCAATTGCTGTTTTCACCCAAGGAGGAAGAAAGCCTACTCTAAAAAGTAAAGATAGAAAGAGCTCAATTTTTTTCCTACGATCGGAGTGTGACATTCAGCACCAGCATTCATTATGAAAATTGAAAACAGACCATCAGTTCTCATAGTTCCAGCTTCAGCTTTGGCGTTTCCTAGCTGTGTGATTATGGTCAAGTTACTTAACCTCTCTTGGCCTCAGCTGCTTTATCTGCAATATGGTCACAGCAGTGATCCATCACTGAATGAGCTGCCTTCACACGACCACAGGCATGTGAAGCATCAACAACACCCCAGGTCGCTGTGGTCATCAGGGTAAGCCACTCCCCTGGAAAACCTTCTCTTTCTCTGAGAATGCAAGGTATGCCCAGAGTCCAAGATGGAAGTGGTCCCCACTCAACGCTCTGTCATGTGTATGTCATCTGGCAGATATTCTGCTGAGACATGAAAATACAGTGTGATGGAAATCGCAGTCAGAAGAAATAACTTTGAATTCCTGATCACTGCTATAACTGCATGATCATAGGCACTTGTTCCGTCTTGAGAGCCTCAGCATCACAGGGTGTGGGTGGGAACAAAATGAGTAGAAAGACATGGCCAGTGCCTTTGCTGCCACATGATGAACCAGTGACAATTATTTTTATGGAAAAAATAGAGTTTCAAAGAGACTTAGAGAGCAGCAAGATCTTTAAAATAAAGAATAAGTTGAGGCCGGCGCCGCGGCTCACTAGGCTAATCCTCCACCTTGCGGCGCCGGCACACCGGGTTCTAGTCCCGGTCGGGGTGCCAGATTCTGTCCCGGTTGCCCCTCTTCCAGGCCAGCTCTCTGCTGTGGCCAGGGAGTGCAGTGGAGGATGGCCCAAGTGCTTGGGCCCTGCACCCCCCACATGGGAGACCAGTAGGAAGCACCTGGCTCCTGCCATCGGATCAGCGCGGTGCGCCGGCCGCGGTGGCCATTGGAGGGTGAACCAACGGCAAAGGAAGACCTTCCTCTCTGCCTCTCTCTCTCTCACTGTCCACTCTGCCTGTCAAAAAAATTTAAAAAAAGAAAAAAATTTAAAAAAATAAGTTGAGAATTCCCTCAAATTCTATATAGCCAATATTTTTAACTGTTGAGATCCAAGGAAAGGTAAGTAAAACCACCACGGAGAAGTGTAGGACATTTCCGTATGGCTGTGGTTTTCATGTTTGTACTGTGTCAGAGTTACCTGGAACACTTGTGAAACCACAAATGGTAGATCCCCGCCCTGGGGAGGTTGGGATTCAGTTGGGGAATGGATAGAGAATTTACATTTCCAATAAATTCCCCCAATGATACTGGAGAACACAATTTGAGATCCACTGACATAAGTATTGGAAACAAAATAGTTTGGGGTCAGTTAAAATACCTAAAACAGCAACCCTTCTTTTATGTGTGGTCTTTACCCTTCCACAAACAACAGATGTTAATTGAATATTTTCTCTGTGCCAAGCCCTGTGCTAGAAACTTTCGCAATCTTTAAAACACCCTCTGGGGAAGGCATTATTGTCATCCACCTTTCATAGATAGGAAACTGAGAGCTTAGGCAATTCACCCAAGGTCACACAACTATCAAATGCAGAATAGGCCCAGGGCTGTCTAATTGCCTAATCTTGATGTTGGTATGCCTTTCAGTTTATGTGCCAGATGATTAATATTAAATAGTGCCAATCCATCAGCCAGTACCAAAGCCAAGTTGACAGTTGACTGTGGGGCTTTTCCCACTGTGGCAGCAGTTAGAACACTGAAGAAAATGCTATAGACCCACATTAAACTCATGGTTTAGAGAAGGCAGAAAGCAGCTGGTAGCATACTTCTGGAACCCAGTGTGTGCTGTTTTGTGCCATGAGATTTGGTTTCCTGCCAGCAATGAGTGTATAATTTAGGATCAGAGATAAGACGAGCAACCACAACTAGCAGGTGACCTTTCCCCTCATCTGAATGGGATATTTTTCCACTCATTAGGAGGAAGCAACATGTCTCCCTCCTCTTATTGCATACTTGCTCATGAGCATAGAAAAATTAAGCAAGTCTCCAGATCCAGCTTAAGAGAGGTCGAATCAGGACCTCATCTGAGAGCTTACCTCCACGCAATTCCCTCCTCAGCTAACTCCAGAGTATAACAGAAGCTGCATGCTAGTAAGGATGTGGCCACTGCCATCATCTCCAGCGTCCTGGACCAGAATGGTGTGAACACAAATAAACAGAATTCAGCAAAAGGTCTCTCTGGTCCTAATCCCACACCAACATGAACCCCGTCCATGAACAGATGGGAAAGCATGGTCACTCCCAGTCCACTGATCCCACAGCCCCTCTCCAGATGGAAGGGAGGTAACCTGTGCCCATTAACAAACTCGAGTAGGTTGTCACATCAATGACAGGGGCCTACACAAACCCACTACCCAAATCATAAGCAAGGGACTTCAAGGAGCTAAACAGCCTCAGGAAACCTAGTCTTGAAAACTCAAACCTCTAAAAAGAAAATAGTACACCCCAAGAACAGGGACTCCAAAGAAAGCAAGAAGCTGCTCTGTACAGTCCCATGGGAAGTGGTTTTATTGTATATAGATGAAGCTAAAGCTGAGAATGAGGTAAGGTGAACTGTCCATTACTTTAGAGGATGGAAATGGACTTTCTTGCCTGTTTTGCAGATATTGTGCACTATGACTGAGCAGGGGAGTGGAGCCATCAGTGTTCCAGGCATCGTTGCTCCAGGCAATGCCTATGTCACCCATCCCAGGTATACTGTGGCCTCTGAAAGCCTTGAGCAGACTTCGAGGGTAGCTGCTTACCCAGTCCCATCAAAAGTAACCCAGTGTGACCCAGGAAGAGCAAACTTACAGAACCCACTCATGGAGAGCCAGAAGCCAGCAGGAATGCCAAGTATACAGAGTCAAGCACCTGGACTCCAGCATCCAGGGACAACAGTCAATGTGCAGACTCCCTCTGGAGTCATCCAATACTCAGCAGGACCGACAGCCATCCAGACCCTGCCTGAAGCTCCTCAGAATCCTCCAAATGCCATCCCCGGGCCAGTATACACCCCAAACCAGTCCCAATGGAGCATGTCATTTGAAGCATTCTCTGCATTTAATCCCAAGAAATTCATCAATGATGAGAGCAAAACATTAGGGGTGAGTATGATTTCTTCTTCTCTCTAGTTTGGGGCACTTCATAAACCTCTAGTGTATTTAGATGAGGAAGGGAGTGGATTTCAAGGGCAAAGGACAAAAGAGGAGTGGTAGTTTCGGGAAGCTGGGCCCAGGGCAACCCTACAAATGCCAGGCTCTCCCTTTTCTTCCCCCCACTTGTTAATCAGGATCCACAGCCTTTGGGGAGGCTGTAAAACTGCTGAGACATCGTTCACCCAGGTGTCAGGGGCAAGGGTGAGCCCCAGACACAGTTTCAGTAAAAAGACCATTGACCGGGAAATCAGGTGATCCATGTTTAAGAACTAGCTGGACTTGCTGAGCGGCCTCAGGTACATCCTTCCCTTTCGCTGGGTTTCAATTTTCTCATCTTTAGGTGTAGCAAGCATCTTGCTTAAATTCCTCCTCGTCTGACATTGTCTGATTTCCTCTTGGACCAAGAAAAGTCTTGCCTTTTTCCTACCTCCTCCAGTTTCATTTGGCACTTTGCGAAGTTTGGGTCCTGGGCCCCATTGGGTGCCTGGCCTACTCTTAGCAGGGGAATTGGCTCATAACGGCACTCAATCTATATGCATTCACCCATCAACATGGCAGACCCTCCGTAAGGAGCTAGAGATTCAGAGATGGCCAAGACACTGTCTTGGAACACCGTGGAGGTTCTCTCTTTTCATAGCAGCTATCATAGTTATACTCCCTTCTGGCAATTGCCATAAGGCATACACACAGGTTGGCATGGGTGCTCAAGGAGCAAAAATTTTCCAGCTTCCTCGAAAGGTTGCCAACTCCCTCCTGGAGGCAAGAGGACAAGAACAGTGTCGGGAAGGGAACAGACTCACTGACACCCTGCTGTGGTTTGAATACAGTGTGAGTGTGTTCCAAAGGGCTTGTGTGTTAGAAGCGTGTTGGTCCCCATGTGGTGCTGTTGGGAGGTGCTGGATCCCTTGAGAAATGGAGCCAACTGGAAGGTCACTGGGGTCATCAGCCTCAAAGGTGATTTATGTGTTTCTCATGTGACACCTGGCTAGTTCTTGAGGAAGGCTTGCTATAAAAAGAGCAAGACAGATTCCTTCCCTCTTTCTGGCTTCTTGTTTTGCTGTGGATCTCTCCCTCTCATCCACACCATCATCATGACAGAGCCTGGGCACCCTTGCCAGAGCCAGTGCCGTGCTGTTTGGATTTTCAGCCCCAAAACTATGAACTAAATAAACCTTTCTCTACAACTGATACAGCCTCAGGTATTTCAGCATAGCAATGGAAAACAGACTATCACCCACCCAACCCACCCCTCCTGTTGATCCTTCAGGAGTACACAAGTGGGTTATACCAAGAACAAGGCACTATTTGCAACCCCAATTGATCAAGATCAAATCCTGGACTAAATTCTATAAAACAGTATCAGGAATAAAGTCCTGGTCATAAGCAACAAGATTACAAATGTGTGACTGAGGCCAGCACTGTGGTGCAGTGGGTTAAGCCATAGCCTGTAGTGCCAGCATCTCCCATGGGCACCAGTTTGGGTCTTGGCTGCTCTACTTCTGATCCAGCTCCCTGCTAATGCACCTGGGAAAACAGTGGAAGATGGCCCATGTGCCTGGGCCCCTGAACTCATGTGGGACTTCCTGGAGGAAGTTCTTGGCTCCTGGATTCAGCCTGGCACAGCCCTGGCTGTTGTAACCATTTGGGGAATGAACCAGCAAAAGGAAGATCAATCTCTCTCTCTCTCTCTGTCTCTCCTTCTCTCTCTCTCTCTCTGTAACTCTACCTTCAAATAAATAAATAAATCTTTAAAAACAAGAACAAGTAATTTTTACACTCTTAAAACTAACCCTACACTAAGTAGAGTGCATCCCTTAAATAAAATAAAATAATTAAAAAAATAAATCCAAATATGTGTGACAATCTTCCAAAAGGTAGAGATTGTATATGACATTAAGTAGTAATTAAAAATTTGTATTATGGTTGCTCTTCTTATTATTAATTAACATGGGGGGGAATGTTTTCTAACTTTGGCTCCCAATTATTATAAGGTAACACTGTCGTTTGGACATGGTTTAGGCCCCCACTCCTCAGTTCAGGCAGTCAAGTTCCAGAGTTATGAATTTGATAGAGGTATGATTCAGTGATGGTGTCTAGGAGATGGGTCTAGCAGGAGGTCCTTAGGTCATTGTGGATGTGCCCTCAGAGAGTAGTTCTCATGAGAAGACTGGTTATATAAGTTGTGTACAGCCTCATATCTCTCATCCACTCTGCTTCCTGGCTTCCTGTGTATTCCTTCCTCTATCCAAGTCCCACAGCCCTTACCAGAAGGTTAAGTCCAAGATCAGGCAGTCCCATCGGTTTGGCCTCTGTGAGGGTGACAAATAGCAATCATATAGAGCAGGCAGAGGAAGGATACATGGTGAGCCAGCAAGCAGAAAGAGTGGGCAAGCCAGACTCAGGCTTTATCACACCCTCATGCAGGAAGTACCTTCTGAGGCCACATCCCCCATGACCTAAGGGCATCTCACTACACCTCCTGAAGCTTCCACTTCCTCCCAATAGCACCACCTTGGGGACCAATCTTTTAACAAATGGGCCTTTGGAGAACATTCAACATCCAAACCACAGCAGATACAGTTAAAGTAGGCATGCAGACAGAATCAAGCACCCTGTCTTACAAAGTGACATTCATAGATTCATGGACCATGAGAGCTGAATCTTTTCCATGTTGATAATTTGAACACTCAGGAAACTGAGACCCAGAGAAGCCCAATGCCACCCTCGGGGTCTCAAGAATAACAAATGCTGTATCAGCCCCAAAGAGAGGGAGACTCACCCTGAATTGGGGTCATAAAAAGAACTTAGATCATACTTGAGGGAAAGATGCGAATTCATGAGGATGAAGGGACAGAGCAAATCTCAGTACATCCATTACCAAGGGGAATTGTGGGCATGTCATGAAGAAGGCTGGGAAGGGTATGGGGTATGGAAAGAAGAATTGTGTCAGCAGAAGGCATTGAAACACCTATTACCTGCTGGACCTGGTGTGCAAGCTTTATGAGCCCTTTTAATCCACAACTCTACAAGCCAAGTACTATTACCCCCATCTTACAGATAAGGAAACTCAGAGGTCCCACAGTTGGCCAGTGCAGGAGGGAGGATACAAGCTCAGGTGTCTTGTTACCAAAGCTCCTGCTGAAGCCATCTCTCAGCACACCTGTGAGATCTGAGTCTGTGGGAAGATGTTCCTTCCTAGGTTCTAAACCATCTCACCTTTCCTTTATGCCTGTGACTCTCATCCTTGGGGACACCTTAGCATTACCCACGGAGCTTTAAAACACACTTAGGCATGGACCTCACCCTCAGCAATGCTGACCCAGTTGATCTGGGTGAGCCCCAACATGACTCACACTTGGGGGGATTCCAGGTTACAGCCAGGGCTGCAAAAACACCTATTCAACTGCCTGAAGGCCCCCATTCTGTTTTCTCACTGCAACTTGTTCCCTTTGACAGGCTGTTCAGATCTTCATCGGCTTGATGCATATTGTCTACGGAATCACCCCTCTGCTGTATGACCAAGTTTCTGTGCTTGGGCTTTCAGGGTACCTATTCTGGGGAGGAATAATGGTAAGTATGATGCCATATTGCCTCCTTCCAGGGCCGCCAGGTGGGGACAAGGAGAAAGTAGAGGAAGAAGGAGCTTGGAATCCCATTTCCAGGAATAGGGCCCAGAGCCAGCCACCTAACTCTACAGGTGCAGCCAAGGACTCCGGATCCAACCCCACCCTTTCCCAGCAACCCCTCCTCCTGCCTCTCAGGAAGTCTGGCACAGACATTAACTACCATGTCCTTTGACTATTCTACTCTTTCTGGCTACTGATTTGATGAAATATCTCATATGCAAACCAGAGTGCCTCAAGGTGTGTGCCAGAGACAGTACCCACCTACCAGTCATGAGTGCATCGTAAAATGATCAGGAATTATGTAAACAGACCATCAAAGCACTTGGTAACAGAAAGTTGGCCATAGTGATTTCCACCGCAGAAGTCAACACACACTCCAATTTGGGGGCTTTCTCTTTGCTGCCACCTCACAAAGCAGGTGTTAAACATTTACCAGCACAGCCCTGAGTACATCGCGTGGGGTGAAGTTTAAACAAGAATAAAATGAATTCTCAAGTGCATCATTCCACTTACCTGAACTATCTGTAGTAGTCAAATTCATAAAGAGAGAAATTAGCAAGGTGATTGCCAAGAGCTGGGGAGAAGGGAGTTAGTGTTGAATCAGAACAGAGTTTCAGTCCCCAACGATGAAAGGCACTCTGGAGGTAGTAGTGGTGGTAGTGGTGGTTACACAACAACATGAGCTTGCTTGGCCCTGGGGAACTGCACACTGGATAAAACTTGGAACTGTGAGTTATATGATACAAGCATTTTACTACAATTGAATTAACAAAAAAATTAATTTTTCAAAAATAACCCTAATTTAAAATCAAAGCATCACCAACAGTTTTTAAATCCCTAAGAGTATCCCCTTTCTGTTATTCTTAATTTTGTGTTTACCATTCCTTTATCTATCTTTAAAGTCTAATCACACCTACCTGTAGCCTAACCAATTAGTAGCTTGGTGTTGCATATTCACAAACCTGTGTTAACGGAATCATGCCACAGCCACACTCTGGTAGCTTTACTCCCTGCTGGACATCTCAAAACAGCCACACTTCATTCATTTTCAGTAGTTGATAGTAATCCACTACACACTACAATTTTCTTACCCATGACCAACATTTGGGTTGTCTGCCAAATTGCAGACTATGCCACTAGTCTTATGCATGCTTCCTAGTGCCTGCGGGCAGAACTTCCCATACAGCATGATCTGAATGATGCCAGGCGTGTCCTGGGATGTTGTGAGAACCAGGTGAGGTTTGAAGACTTCCCCAGGGCTCTGCTGAGGGCTGCTTTAAGAAAATCTATTTGTGAAAAGGATAGAGAAGCATAATTCATCCAATGTTTGCTACTAAAATTGTAGATGAGAAAAAAAGGAGTTTAGGCATTGGTATGTACAGGAGGTAGACTCAAGGAGAACACCAAACTACAAAAATAAGAATGAGATTCATAGCATCCTGGAATAAAAAATTCAGATTTTTAGGAGAAAGGAAGGCTTTAGCCTAGACATACAGGAGTTTGAATATCCTGGGATTTAGCATAATTTCTGCCTCACCATTGAGATGGTGAAAATGTTGACTGGAAGGAACAGACTTGCACATCTTGGAAAAGAAGTTCTATAGAACTTAGAGACAGAGGGACACACATCTGTCTGGATGGTTGTCTTTTTTAACCTATAACTCAATGGATCATTCATTTTTGTTGTTTGTTTTTTTTTTGGCTGTGTAGTTTGTTATATCTGGATCCATCTCGGTATGGGCTGAAAAAAGCCACAACACCTGTGCGGTGAGTACAAGTGCTATCTCTGATGACCTGGGAATGGTAGAATTTGACCCTCTACTATTTAAGGGGAAAGAGGTCTCATAGTGATGTGTGTCCTGGCCCTGGCCTGGGTTCAATACTTTAAAAAAATAAAAAAAGATTTATCTATTCATTTGAAAGGCTAAATGACAAGAGAGAGCAGTCTTTCATCCACTGATTCACTCCCCAAATCGCCACAACAGCCAGGGCTGGGCCTGGCCAAAGCCAGGAGCCAAGATCTCCACCCTGGTCTCCCACATGGGTGGCAGGAGCCCAAACACTTTTACTGCCCTCCAAATGCATTAGCAGGAAGCTGGATGGGATGTAGAGTAGCCAGGACTCAAACTGGCACTCTGATATGGCATACCAGAGTCATAAGTGGTGGCTTAACCCACAGCATCACAACGCCAGCCCCTGAGTTCAGTACTTTTACATACCTTATTCCATCAGTCCTCACAATGCTTTAAAGTTCGATTATCCCTCATCTCACAGATAAGGAAATAAAGGCACAGAGAGGTCAGGTGGCTTGCACAAGATCACACAGACAGAACAGGGCAGAGCGGGGATGGGAACCAGAGCTCTGATCCCAAAGGTAGGATTTTACCTATTGCTTTTGACTACTTAGAAATTTTTCCTTTGGGAAACTCAAAAGCATTCCTTAGAGCAACAGCCTAAGTATTCTCAGAATGATGCGAAAGTTAGGCCTGAGTCTAATAGTAATACGTGTACATTTCAGCCATTTTTGGAAGTTGTCTCCCACCTGACTCTTTGGCTGGATCTAAAAGTGAGAGGAACGTCTGCTGTGAACAATGCAGAGACCCAACCACAGGGTCTAGGGCCCATATTTCCCCTGAACGTCTAGGGTATTGCGTTCTGTCTTAGCATCCAGCAAAATTTCTGGTCATATTTCGATTTTCGCTGTGGCCCCTTCAGGATAAATGCAGACCACTCCTCTCATGCCTGGTTCCAAATCCACCTTCTCCCCCTCACTTTGTCAACATGGCTTCTCCTCTCTCTTCTGTCTTCTGAATGAGAAGGCAGTGAGTCCACAAGGGGCTGTGTTGTCTGACACACACCAGGCCAATGGTGTCTTTGCCCACACCAAAGTCCAATGCCCTCGCCAAGAAGTCCACCACCTCCTGGCACCTCCTGGCCCCCTCTTCTCCAAGACCTGACTCCTGATTGAAATCTCCACCTTGCTCTCTCTGTGTCACAGCCGCCCTGGCCTTGGCCCACATGTGAAATGCAGGCTTTTCCTCTTCATGCTTTCCCCATCTCCACAAGGGAGAGACTTGAGGAGGACACAGACCGTAAATAACTAGAGGGTGACAATATCTCAACCAAGCCACAGATCCCTTAAGATGGGACAGTAGACTCTCAGCCCTGAAAAGCTTTCCCCATCCTGCACAACCAATCCTGCACAGCCAGGCTCCAGGCTCCCGCCACAGGGACCATGTCCTTCCTACTCCTCCCTCTCAAGGCAGCCTTGGAATCGGAACCCCTGCTCATTTCTTCTGCAAAGCAGGTCCACCTCCTTGTCTTCAGGGTCTCACTTCCTAATCCTTAGCAGCTCGGCATAGGATTTTCCCTCCCCTCAAAGGACCCTGAAAATTTATTGAAGAATAATTCTCTCACCTCCTCACTATATTTGCAATTAACTGGCTTCTCCATCCTGCCTAACCATCTCTTTTCTTTTGCTTTTGCTTAAAATTAATTAATTAATTTATCTACATTATAGTATAATAGGCTAAGCCTCTGCCCATTATGCTAGCATCCCCTGCAAGCACCAGTTCATGTCCCAGTTGTTCAGCTTTCTGCTTGTGGCCTGGGAAGACAGTAGAGGATGACCCAGGTACTTGGGCCCCTGCACCCATGTGAGAGACCTGAAGGAAGCTCCTAGCTCCTGTGTTTGGATCAGCCTACCTCCAGCTATTGCAGCCATTTGGAGAGTGAACCAACAGATAGAAGACCTCTCTCTGTGTGTCTCTCCCTCTGTCTGTGGCTCTACCTCTCAAATAAAATCTTAAAAAATTATTTAATTAATTTATATCTATTTGAAAGACAGAGAGATAGAGACCAACAGACAGAGAGATCATCATCCATCAGCCAGTTCACTCCCCTAATGCCCACAAGAGCCAGGGTTGGGTCAGGCCAAACTCAGGAGCCGGTAACTCAATCCAAGAATCACAATCCAAGAATCTTGGCAGCAGGGGTCCAAATACTTGAGCCATCACTTGCTGCCTCCCAGGGTGCACATTAGCAGAAAGCTAGAATTGGGAGAGGAGCCAGGACTTGAGCCCAGGCACTCCAATATAGGATGCAGGCTCTTAACTGCTGCTCCAAATGCCTGCTCCTGGCCATCTCTTTTCTTCCCTGGCTCCCTCTTTTGTCCTCCTTGCCAAGGTTTCCCACACCCAGGCTTCGAACTCTGCTCACCACCCCCTCTCCTTCCACATGCGGCAGGTGAACGGCAGCATCGTTGTGAACATCATGAGTGCCATCTTCTCCCTGCTGGGGATCTTCATTCTTATTGCAGACCTGGCTGTTTTATCACCTCTGCGTAGCAACCTACAGGTGAGCATTTTGACTGCCAGGCCCCTGTGCTTCCTGAGGACCAAAAGGGTTACAAGATTATTTCCAGAGCAGGAAGGAAGTGCAGCTGCAGTACATCCCAGCATAACAGCCCCCATGACCAAGAATTATTCAACCCTTACCCAAACTCTGTGAATGTGGAGGCTCAGCGAGGGGAAGCCGAGAGACCTGCCACCTCATACCTATTCTAGTTCCTGCTGAAAGTGCCCAGGGAAGCAGCCAGGTGCAGCTGCCACCTTCAAATTCACAAGATCACCTGCCCCCAGGAGTCCATTGAGGATCAGTCTATCGCAAATGGATGGGTCAATGCAAGTCATTTATTTCAGAGATGATCTTGGGATTTGCCCGGAGGGGAGGAAAGAAGTAAGAGAAGCCACAGGGAGGAAGCCCCAGGATAAAGACTGTGCTCAGCAACTTGCTGATGAAGCCTCATCCTTCTGGGGTCCGGCAGACAATGACCACTATGCCCTCAGAATATCCTGTAAGGCTGTGGCAATATTTATCCACCAACTCCCTCCTCTGGTGATTGAAAACTGCCCACCCCCTCCAGCCTGCTATGCATGTGGGCAGAGGGGTCTCTTGTCATTGAAGGAAGCCCTCAGGAAAAATGGAAGTCAAGAGGTAGACGGGGAGATAGTCAGGGCCAAAGGCATATGAGGAAGACACCTGCAGCATTGATGTAGTACTTGAGTAGGCATCGGGAATGACAATTAGAATAACTTGTCCCACAGTTGGCTGCAACTTGGTCCATCCTCAAGACTAGTTAACCAAGCAGGACAAGCAAGACTGGCAGGGCCCAGGGTCTTAAACTTGAGCTCCCTACAAGGGGGAGTCCCTAAGGGGAGAGCTTCCTGCAGGTCCTAGGAAGAAACCTGATTCTGCTGATGTGACTTGGTATCTAGAAGGTACGGCAGCAAACCACAAACCCAGGCAAGGTGCTGGCCTCTAGAGTTGAACATGATGCAACAGGATGTCCCAACAAGGGGTGCATTGTGGTCCTGGGGACTCAGGAGCAGCAATATCTCCTAGTGATAAAGGGGGTCATTGGGCAATCAGGACCTCTACCAGCAAGGAGTACATGAATGTAGTATAGCACAGGGCTCTGATCTCAATAGTAATGGGCCAAACCCTGGGTTTGCCAGCCTCTGCTGCAAAAAGAAAGGGTGTAGGGGATGAGGCAGGAACTCTGAGGACCTTGCCACAGTACTGTGGGTGGAGCCAAGGCCCAGAGCACACTGGCACTGTGGGGTGTCCTCACTTCTGCCTTGGCTTCTGTCTTAGCTCTTACACTTCCTACCAAGAGCAGATCCAGGCAGAGCGACAGGAAACAGGGTTAGGAAAGCCAGCAGCCAGGCAGAGCTGATGACCCTGACCTCACTGGCATCCATCGCTTGACCCTCCATAAGGAGCTCAGCCCTCTCACAGAGGCTTACCTGGCCATGGATTTGCTGAGGGGTGTCTCAGTTTGAGTTCCTCCCAAAAGCAGACTTGGAGACATGCAGTTGATTTGGGAAAGGAAGCAAATGCCAGCCTAAAGGGTGAGGGAGCTAGGGTATTTATACACCAAACCCTGATGGTCATTGACACAGGGCTGCTCGTCAAGGGAATTAGCTCCTCAAAACTCCCAGCCTCTTTTACAATCAGTAAAGTGGTCCCAGAGGTCAATGGGAACCCCAAGGCCAAGAAATGCAGGAGCTGGCAGTTGGAAGTCAGGCCAGTATGCACAGATGGGATAAACAGGGCATATAAGAGGAGGGCCCACAGCAGCTGCTCCAAGGTACCACACAAAGAGAGGGTCTTGGGCCATCCAGGGGAAACATGTGGTATTTGCCTAAGGTGAGCTCTACAGGTCTTGACTTTCACCTAGACAGTTCACCCTAAGGACTAAAATTCTTTAATTCCTCTATGCCTCCAGCGTTATGTGAAGCCAATTTCTGCTTGTCTCCTCCCGTTCGCCCTGCTGGAGTTGATCCTCACATGTATGATCTCACATTTTGGGTGCCAGGCTGTCTGCTGCAAAAATGTTGAGGTAAGTGTTGGGCTCTGTTTCAGAATCAGAACATAAGCTAATGGGCTGGAGCAATGGGTGCCCAAGAGTGGAATAAGCAAAGTCTAAGAGAGGGTACAGCGGTTACGTTTTATTGGATACAAACTACCCCAAAACTTAGTCCCTTCAAACAGCAACCATTTGTTCAGTTTTTGAAGTATCATCAAGCAGGGCCATAATGAGGGAGTAACTCTTCTGCTGTACCTACTGCCAGCTGCCAGGTGGGCTGGGGAATTGTTGGTGTACAGGGGTGTATTAGCTTTTTGTTTACTACAACAAAATACCTGAAAGAAATTACTTATGAAGAAAATAGAGATTTATTTCAGCTCACGGTTTTGGAGGTTCACAGTCCAAGATCAGCCAGGTCCCATTCACCCATTCAGTCAGTCTCTGGTGATGGTGTTGTTGTTGAGTTCCCAGGTAACTGAAGAGCATCACATGGCAGGAGAAAGCACATTGTCTCTCCATGTCTGTCCATTGTCTGTCCTATGATCTCTTTTTACAAAAAAAAAAATTGACAGACAGAATGACATAGAGAGAGTGAGACACAGAGAAAGAGACCTTTACTCTCCAAAGGGTCACAACAGCCAGGGCTGGGTGAAGCCAAAATCAGGATCCTGGAACACCACCCAGGTCTCCCATGTGTGTGGCAGGGGCCCAAGTACTTGGGCCATCTTCTGCTGATTTCCCATTAGCAGGGAGCCAGATCAGAGGCAGAGCACCCAGAACTCAAATTGTCACTTCAATATGGGTTGCCAATGTAATAGGTGGCAACTTAACTCATTGCACCAGAACACTGCCCCCCCCATATGATTTCTTAAAATGCCACCAGGATTTAATCACAGGGACTCTACCCTAATGACTCAATCCAATCCAGTCATTTCCAAAGGCCTCATCTTCTTAAAACACCATAATTGGATTACATTTCTACCCCTTTAGTACCATTAACCTAAGATTTTGAGGACCAACACGTAAACTAACATCCCAAACCATAGCCAGGTTCCTTAGGGGAATAATCCATCTCGGCTCCACTTGTTATATCATCCTCTAGGGTGCCAATATGGGTAGCTGGGTTCCCAGAGTAGCAAGACAATCAGGCTCCCACAGACTAGCACTTTAAGTCCTTGCTTGTGCCAATGTGCTAATGTCACATAGATCAAAGTCATTCACTTGGGCAAACCTAGACTCAATGAGTAGAGAAACAGCTGTGCCTCTTGAGAAGAGCTAGACCTAAGGGTCATGAATATGAGGACTTTAAAAAAAAAGATGTATTTATTTATTTATTTATTTGAAAGGCAAAGTGAGAAAGAGAGAGAGAGATCCTTCCATCTCCTGGTTCACTCCCCAAATGACCACAACAGACAGGTCTGGGCCAGGCCTAAGCCAGGAGCTTCATCTGGGTCTCCCACATGGGTGATAGGGGCCAAAGTACTTGAGCCATCTTCCAGTGCCTCCCCAGGTGCATTAGCAGGGAGCGAGATCAGAAGTGGAGCAGCTGGGACTCCAACCTGTGCTCATATGGGATGCCAGCATCACAGGCGGAAGCTTAACCCGCTGTACCACAATGCCAGATCCTGAATATGAGGACTTGTGGCAGTCTTCAATCCGGCAGTTTTTAAGATTGTAACAGTTTTTCCCTGTCCACAAATTACTCACATTTGTCCAATACACATAATATACTCATCCCAAGCATCCTATTCGGTTATGGCACCAGGCTGGAAGCCCAGAGTGCACATCAGATCTAGATGCAGCTGAGGGATTTGGAGATGTGGCTGTTCTTGATCCAGAAACCTATGAACTAAGAACAAGATCTGTCCACCATGTACTCAACATACCTCAGTGAGACAGAATAGGATAACCAGAATACACCCTCCCATTCTACAAGGGGAGCACAGAAAGTACAGGACAGCCACTGCTCCATGCTAATTCTGAAATCCTATGGGACAAGCCCTGCCCTACTGAGGAGCAGCGTACTTTTCTTAATTAGGGGGCCAATTTTGCCCTCTGCAAGAGTCGACCATTTCTTTCTGTTGCTTTTTTGGAGGGATTCTTGAATTCACTGCTCTCCAAGATCTTGACTCCACCTATGGACTCTTGGCTCCAACTTTTCCATAAGAAATGGCCCATCTTTTCCACCTTAATAAAAACAAATAGTTTTCTCATTCTGCCTCCTGTATAGATAAACCCAAAGGTTTTTTGCAGTTGGAGCCATTTCAATCATCTTTGGTCAAGTGGTACCTTTGTTGATACAATTCCCTTTAAAACTCTGAGGGTATTTGATGTAGCAAAGTAGAGCTCTTGCCACACTTGAGGCCGTGTTCAAGATATGTTTCTCTCTCTAGATCTGCCAACATCTACCTGTATTTTTTAACCAAGGCTCTGAAGACTTAGAAGTCATTCTACATAGCTAAAAGATCTAATAGACATTGCCTTAAACATTTTTTTAGATATTTATTTGTTTATTTGAAAAGCAGACTTATAGGTGGATGGAAAAACAGAGAGAGAGGTCTTCCCATTTCACTGGGTTCACTTCTCCCAAAATGGCCACAACAGCAAGAGCTGGGCTGATCTGAAAGCTAGGAGCCAGGAGCCTCCTTCTAGGTCTTCTCACATGGGCACAGGGGGTCCAATCATCTTGTGCCCATCTTCCTACTGGTTTTTCTC